TCTTATAGGGTTTATACTGAGTACAATATTGTATAACTGTATTAATTCAACTGTAAACCTAAAATTTTACAGCCAATTTTGAAAGACATGCACTTTAGCTCTTGAAATTGTTATTGAATGTGTCGATGCTGTTGTAATGAAATGCTTCTTCTAAGTACGTGGTTATTAGGTTCAACAGCAAACCTAAAAATTTTATAGCCACTTTTGAAAGAGATGTATCTTTGCTCTGGAAACTGTTGTTGAGTATGTTAAAGCTGTAATGAAATGCCTCTTCTAAAAAATACTTTAAAAAACCCAGAAAATTTGAGATAACTTAAAAATTTTGCATTTATCTACAGCTCATGTATGTAGTGTCTTCAGCAATAGGGTTTTGCGATCAAGTTCTGATGACTGAACAAGAGCAGGGGCAGTGGCCAGTGTTGCTTGAGGGTCTATGGGATCCCTGGTCAACAGCTTTAAGAGAGAGAGTCCATTCCTGGAATTGAGTTTGCTAGTCTAAGGTATCTAGTAGAAGCAATGTCCCCATGTTTTAAGGTAACTCCTTTTAATGTCTTTTTCTAACACACACACACACACACACACACACACACACACACACACACACACGCACACATGTGCACACAACTTAAGATGCTTCTGTAGTGGTAAGTTTCCATATGGCTTTTTCTAAAGGTCTTTAGTGTCAGTTATGTCTCCCCACACTCCCTCCTCTGTCCTGCCCTCCCTATTTAAGCCTTCATACTGTACTTTCTCCCCTTTTCCCTTTATATCACTGCATTCTATCTCCCTTCTTAGGACCTCCACCCCAACCATGGCCGTCTATTAGTTTCCTGTTCTCTCTGGATTTTCCAATTAAGACGTGTATCTAAGAATTCAAAACTAATATCTTGTTACAGGACAGAACATGTGACATTTGCCCTTCTGGGTCTGGGTTACCTCATTCAGGATGATAGTTACAGTTCCATCCGCTTACTTACAAATTTCATAATTTCATTTTTTAACAGCTGAAATATATTCCCTTCTATAAAAGTACTAAACTTTCATTATCCAACAGTTGTGGACACTACATTGTTTCCATTTCCTGGCTATTATGAAAAGGGCAGCAGCAATGAACATGGATATATAGGTATCTCTGTAGTAGGATAGAGTCTTTTGGGTATACGCCCAAGAGTAATATGACTGAATTATATGGTAGGCCAATTTCTAGCTTTTTGAGAAATCTCCACATTGCCATAGTGGCTGTACCATTTTATACTCCCACCAGCAGTGAATAAAAATTCCCCTTTGCTCACATGTTTACCAGAGTTTGTTGTTTGTATTTTCATTTAAAATATTTATTATTTCTATTTTATGTGTATGAGTGTGTTGCCTGCATGTATGTAAGTGCATGCACATGGTGCAATGACTATGGAGGTCAGAAGAGGGTGCCAGATCCTTTAGAACTGGAGTTACAGACAGTTGCTAGCCATAATGTGGGTGCTGGGAACTGAACCCAGATCCTTTACAAGAAGAGCCAGTGCTTTTAACCTCTGAGCCATTTCTCCAGTCCTCATTATTTGTATTTTGGATCTGAACCATTTTGAGTGGGGTAAAATGAAATTTCAAAGTGGTTTTAATTTGCATTTCCCTGATGATGAATAATTTTGAATATTTTTTAAAGTATTTCTCAGCCATTTGTATTTTACATTTTGAGAACTCCCTGTTCAACTCTTGTCCTCTTTCTTAATTGGGTTGTTTGTTTTGTTGACTTCAAAGCTTCATCTCTACTGACTAATTTTCACAGTCCTGGAAAATGCTATATGCATGCTGCCTACCAGAAGAAAAAATTAATCATCAACCTTACTGATCTGTGAATCCTGCAAGTTACAAGACAACTTGCCTGGCAAGATAGACCCACTGGTGTGACAGTGGCATGAATTTTTATTAAATTTATTTATTTATTTATTTATTTATTATTTATGTGTATGAGTGTGTTGCCTGCATGTAGATAGTTGCACCCATGTAGTGCAATGCCCATGGAGAGGCCAGAAGAGGGTGTTGAATCCCCTGGAACTAGAGTTATGGACTCTTGTTAGTTATCTTGTGAGTTCTGGGAGTTGAACACAGGTCCTCTGGAAGAACAAGTGTTCTTAACTGCTGAGCCATCTCTCCAGCCCCAGTGGCATGAACTTTATGGAAGTAATTACCTACTTTCTGACTGGATTTAAGGTCTACTTCATAAGATGGAGCCCATCCTTGATACTGATATCAGGCCTTGGAACTGTGATTAGACAGACTAGACTAATACTATTATTACTATTATTATACTATTATTACTAATACTATTATTCTGCTAAATAGATATAGCATTAAACTGACTCCTAAGGAAGTATTCTTTTTTATTATTTTTAAATTTTAAGTGAACCCATGTCATGCAATGCCTGTGGAGGTCAGAAGAGGCTGTCAGATCCCCTAGGATTGGAGTTATGGACAGTTGTTAGGTACTCTGTGGGTGTTGGGATTTGAACCTGGGTCTTCTGCAGGAACAACCAGTGTTCTTAAACACTGAACCATCTCTCCAGCCCCAGGAATTATTCTTATACTCATAGATTAATGTATCTCTCTCAATTTTCAACAGAGAAGATTTTTTTTTTCATGCAGCAGATGATGATTAATACAGAGACTCACGGCTGACCAACATGCAGAGAATATGAGGCTGCAGAGTGATTACCTCTGAAGAGGCCTCCTGTTATCAAACTTCTTCCTCCCAGACTCAGGGCTCATTGAGGAAGAAGGGGGTGGAAAAATTGTAAGAGCCAGAGGTCATGAATGACCACAAGGAAACAGAGTTTTCCAGGCAGCTAGACCGTTATTTATATGAACTCACAGCAACAGAGACAGCATGTACAAATCCCACATAAGCTCAAGCTAGACAAAATCTCAGCATGGACATGGGGCCAAGTGGGTAAGAAACCCCAACTCTTCCTGAGGAACTATTGGCAACTGCTGGCTGCTGGGAAGGGGGTGGGGTGGCAAGTCAGTCTCTTTTAAGGATGAGGCTCTTGACAGGTTGACCAGGCTCCAGTGGATGGACCCACACCAAGAGGCATTTGGGGACACAAGTCTGACTTTATAATCTGAATAGGCCTGTATATATAATATATGGAACTTTTGACTCTAAGATCCTGTAGCTAACTAACTAATGAAATAAGTTGTCCACTAGTTCCCTTCATAAAGATGTAAATTATGTTTCTGTTTCCTTAAAATATAGTTCAAATTAGGACACAAATAACAATCAAAGTATTTAGAAATTTAAGGCCGAGGCTAAAGTTCAATTGGTAGAGTGCTTGATCAGTAAGTATGAAGCCTTGACTTGGACACTCCAATCTGAATAACACCACACATAGTCACACGCACCTGTAATCCATGCACTCAAGAGGAGGAGGCAGGAAGATCAGAAATTTCAAGTCGTCTTTGGTTGTATTGTGAGGTTTGAGGCTAACCTGGTGTACATTAGACTGTCTCAAATATGTTTATCTGTATGTGTGGGTGTGTGTATTGATGCATATATATATGTTTAATTGTGTATTTGCATCTACATTGGAAAAATAAAGTATTCTTCATCAAGATTTAAGTTACTGTGGAGTCTTTGAAGGCAAATTGTATGAAAAGGAAAACTTCATTATGTGAAATGTGGCAAATGGACTTAAAGCAAAAACTCAGTCTATGAATATTCTAACTCAAAGTCCAATTCTTAACTGAAAAAAAAATGGTCAGGGTTCTGAAGAAATGTTACTTATGAAGCAGAATGTGTTGCAATAAATGTGGGGTCTTAGTCCACTTTGATAACAACCACACAATATTAGTGCACATTCTAGAAAAAAACCTGTTAATTATGGGGCAATAATGGGATCAACAAGAGAGTTTTTACTGTAGCCACACCACTATGGAATAGTTTTGCTGGAATGCTGTTTCTCAAATTAGCAGCATGTTTCAGATAAAGATAGGAAGTCGCCTTAACTTGAAACTGCTGTGTCATTTCTTCTTCCTTAACTGAAATTCCAACCAGGGTTCAGGAAATGCCCTAATGAGCGACTTCTCTTTTCTCTTTCCTCAACTCAGTGGATTCCAACCAGTTCTAACCATTCATTACTTGTGAGAAGATTCTAGACTTTGCTCATCTCTTGGGCTTGGTGCTTGTGTTATGGGAAGAGAGATTGTAATTTGAAGCTGTTTGTAGAGGTGGTTACACTGAGAGAATCCAATCATTGCTGGTAGGTAACTAAACTGGCAAATTAATTTTTCTGTACTTTAAATAAACTGTGAAGACAAGTTTAATCAATACCTGTTTTATCTTGGTATATATAGCTTGCTTGTAATTATGATTTGATCTTGTGTGATAAATAGGTATCAGGATGTTAAAAAAGTCAAACTGTGATTTTTCTATAATTTGGGTGAAATATAACTAAAATGCTATTAATGTCTAAGTTTAATCATTTTATCTTGGTATATATAGCTTGCTTGTAATTATGATTTGATCTTGTGTGATAAATAGGTATCAGGATGTTAAAAAAGTCAAACTGTGATTTTTCTATAATTTGGGTGAAATATAACTAATAACTAAAA